CTATATTGGGTTGTGTAGCATCATTTATTTATGAAATTTATATTGTCATAAATGGTACATAAAATAAATTATAGATTATTTAATATTGTTTTATTCAAATTTCAAGTTGGTTTTGAATGCAATAAATTACTTGTTGATTTAGTAATAACTACATTCGATTTAAGTATCTCATAAGGAGATATCATATAAACAATGGTCCATCGAGATATGCACAAATTATTGGTGTCCACTCATGAACAGTCAACTCTTTAATGACCTAAAGAGATAAATTATGGTTAAGTATCTTGCAAGAAGTTGTCAAAATGCATATACTTAATTAAGTATGCAAAACTATAATTATGGACAATCTAAATTTCTCAATGTGAGATTATACAATTGGTTAATGTGGTGATCGGTTATCAAAATGGCCAACTCATTAAAACTTGCAAGATTTTCTCATATACAGGAATGGGGTTATAATTATCTCATACAATCACTTACTCGAAATGGATTTTTTATTTGGTAATTGGGAGTGAACATGAAGCATCACAGTTAAAGGTACACTGATTTAAAAGTTTTTTCTGCCCAAAAGGGATAGACTTTTCGCAAATTGGGATATTCTTATACTAGCTTCATGTGAAAAGTACCTCATAAACATGATCATACGGCCTTGTTAACGGGTTATAGTAGTTAGCATAAAGCCATGGCTAGCAGGTTATAATAATTAACAATGATCATGAGGATGAAATTATCAATATGGCCAATATCAATAGTTATAACAGTGACCATAGCTAACGATAAATGAATAATAATGATAATTTATGATGATTTTAAAGATTGATCCATAATTTGTATGAAATATATATTTGACCGTGATTTATGATTTATAAATGATGAATTGACATGTTTTGATATTAATTTATGATCTACAAAATGTTGATATAATGATATTTTTGAAATGTTTTGACATTATGATCTAATAAATATTTTGAATTATCTATATGATATGTATGAAAATGATGCTTAATCTGATAAGGTGTGTGAGCTTATACTAGCTGAGTTGTGGTTTGTTTATTCCCCTTTTACTTTTTTTTTATAGATGAGTAAGTGATGAGTTTACTTAGTTTTGTGAAAAGGTAGAAAATCAAATGAGAAAGATTAATTAGTCGTCAGAAACAATGTTGGCCAATGAGATCTTATGAAACGGTTTTGTATTTTTTATTGGTTTATATTTGGATATATAAAGATGTATCATTAGTTAGATTAAATATATAGATTTTACTTGATAGACTATATTTCAGTTTATTAAAGAATTTTAGAAGGATTAAAAAAAAAAATTACATTATTTTGAGATTTACTTCAAGGTAATATGACTGTATTATATCTCGCTTTCGGGGTGTGACATTCATAAACTAAAAACAACTATTAAATCTAGTTTTGTCAACTCATGAAAAATAATTCTTCTCAATCATAAATGTGCAAGTTGCATCAGGAATTAAACATAATCCTACACAAATAAAAAAGATAAACATGGTATGAGGTCTAATAGATTTATATTTTTGAAAAAAAAATAAATTTAAATAGAATCAAGTATCGAATACCGCAGAAGTGCTATTTGTGTTCTATTTGAATTTAATACAAATAATAAATACTTTATTCAAATCCTATAATTATTAGTTTATAAGTATCTAAGTTGAATATAATCGGATTGGAAAATACCGGATATCTAATTATAATCCTTGACTAATTTTTCTTTTTGCCTAAAAACAGAGTTTTGCCAGAAAAAAAAAATCAATAAAAAAGCCAAAAGAAAATAATTAACATTACATTGTTAATTCCAAGCCAAAGCAAAGATGATGAGTCTTAAGACCATGTAATTATTTTTCTCATGTCTTAATTATCTTTCTCATGACTGTAATCTCAACTTTTTGTCTTGTCAGAGATTGAACACTTTTGTTGCGATTCGAATTTTCCTTCTCAATTCTCTTTCCTTTTATTTATTTTCGCTTTTGCCACTATTATTACACGATTCTTAGCGTCGGCATCTTTCTCTGAGACTGCCAAAAGAGATTGAACATTGTTTGATCTCACATCTTCAAGTGTGAAAGAGAAGAGAGTTCGCTGAGCCACTTCCTATACTTATAATTTAGAAAATCTCTGGCAGTTGTCTCTCCGTAGATTGGAGGGTTGTCTTCTGATAACAATTCCTTCATTGGCACATAGACCACTACCAGGAGAGTTCTCTAAATGATCCTTTGTTCTGAAGAAACATGCTGCTGAATTTCTTGGTCCTATATTTTTCACCAAGGCCCTATGTTTCACACCTTTAAACTTGTCATTAAAAATGAGCTGCACAAAAATTTAAATTTGGGTCAAACTATTGTTACCCTATAGATGAAAACTATACATGCGATATCACAATAGATACAATGTAGATTTGGGACTATAATAGGAAGGCTTTTTTCACTTTGAAGATAAATTTAGCAAAATTTGGGAATCACTTTAAGGAAGATATAAAGACAAAAACTATAACAATTAATCAACCTTTACAGTTTGCATGGACCTGGTAATAAATTGTTTTATAGAAAGTAGATCGTAGTTAGGGAATAGGAGAAAATGTTATAGATATTGAGATTTAAATCTCAGAATTGTTGATGTCACCTCTCAAGGGAAATTACATGATCTCGAACTAACTTCAGGTTCAACCTGGTAATAGAATTTTGGTTTTTACTTCTGAAATCCAAGGTGTGAATGTGTCTAGTCTAGAGTTTAGACATACTCTCGAGTTATCCCAAGTCCAACAACTAAAAAAATAGTACTAGTAATATGATCATGAATAACTTGCCTGTAGAAAATCTGCAATGTTTACTACAAGTGCTCCACGTGTGGGTGAAACATCAACCCATCGGTTATCGTGAAGAACTTGCAAGCCACCAATTTGATCCTGTAGAAGTATGGTCAAGAAGCTAGCATCGGTGTGGGGGCAAACCCAAGGGTTAATTCAGGTTCAGGGCATGGAGGATAATACTGGCCCAAAAGGAGGACTCCTTCGGCGCATCCAATGTCTTTTAAGCGATCAGGATCAAGTCCAAGAGCCTCAGATAGCAACTCAAGCAGAGTCATTCCCAACTCATCACGCTCTTTGAAAAATCCATTACCATGTCTCTGCAAGTTGATTAACATTAATGTGCAGTTCAAGCAGACATTATAATATGGAGAAACATTACAATCCTCATTACTGACCTGCAAACTTCTGGCAATTCTGCAGGGCTAGGCGGATGAGGAGCCATGGAAATACTGAGTGTGTCCCTCCAATTTGCAGCGTGTGATTTATACAAATCACTATTACTTAGAAATGAAACTTTTCTACTATGATCACGCGTGTAGAACTCTTTCTTCACGTCGGCATCCATCTCATGAAATTTACGTATCCCCATCAATCATATCATCCAAAACCCTTGATGGAATTTCATGGTTAACGACTTGGAAGAAACCCCAGCTCTCACAAGCATTTCGAAATTTGTCGATTATCTCTATACGTACAAAGAAATCTTTGTTAATTCCTTCAAGGTCAATGATCGAAACACTGAACTGTGAATCGCTGCTAGTACTACTAGCTGATCTCTTCTCGAGAATAAACTGTTGATCAACAACTATACGAGGAATTTTTGTCACCCCACCATCAAGTAATCCCTTAACTCCAATTTTTTGTCCCATCAAAAGCTTTTAAAATCAGAAATTTCCGGAGCGCTCCTAGTGGAGTCCATTGTCCAGGCTCCCACCAGGGAACAGAACTGACAATTCAGTCCAAGTAGTTCTCTTCAATTTATTCCTCAAGCTCAACACCATTCAGTTTTTGTACAGTTGGGCCATCACATATACTAATGCAGCAAAATATCTCCTTCCAATTGATTCTGATCGCCCACTTGTTCTTTCGTGTTGCCCCAGCTAGCTAAGAACAGGGTTTTTTTTTTTTTTTTGGAGAGGAAAGAATCAAAAGAAAACTTTGAACTCGGAGAAATGACATTGTTTCTGCAAGAAAGAAATTACAAACCTCAATAGATTATATTAATCTGTTCTACATTTTGGGTTTGCTACTTTGCTTTTAATTATTAAGAAATAAATTTAAAATGACAGTATGACATTAAACAAATTGGCTAGTCATTCAAAAAAATTTTAAAAAAAATGATACCATTGATTCCAAACTGAAATTTAAGAGCAAGTGAATTTTTTCATGGCTGAAACTCCGCCTTCGTCTGATTAGAAATAAAGACTCTTCTTGGCAAAACAGAGCCAGACTCCTTTCAGTTGTCACGAAAAGTTAGTGATTAAAAATTAATTCTGCAGTTTAATTTGTGCATTCAATCACCTTTAAAAGATGACATCAATCAGTTTTAGAATTCAAAATCTAAAAATTACAATATGTTCGTCTATCCTCATACTGCAATCTCTTTTACAAAAAAAAAATAGCAATAAGGCAAATTCAAGAGTTTTAGAGTTGAGCTTTAGTAATAAACATCAATCCAAACAACCACAAAAGCATAGCCATATCAGTAACAAAGCACGATCGAAGCTTGAAATATACCAGATCGATATAGACATCCATGAACAAAAGTTAAATAGAAGTATGAACACACAACTCATCATGTGCCACAGAATGTCTCCAAATATCTCCTCTTGACTTCGTAGTTTGAGTTCTAAGAGCAATGACATCTGATGAATCACTTGTGTATGTGACAAATAATCTTTTATGGAAGTCTCCCTATATATAGGGGGATTTTGCTCTGATAATAATTCCTTTCCTTGATTGGCCCATAAAATTTAGAGGCATTTACTCCAGAATTTTTCATTCAAAATTGGCTATTACATTAAACAGATTGGCTATTCATTCAAAAAAAAAAAAATGATAACATCATCTCATCAAAAACTTTTATTTCAGTTTTGAGATCATGAGCAGAATCAGCTTCTGCAGTGATTAGGGGTAAACGGTCTGTTCCATTAATTCAATTACAAAAGTTTGAAAATCGAATTAACTAAATCAAGTTATTTTATTAACACAACCAACCAAACTTTATCAATTAATCGACTAACCAATTAACCTTCTATATAAACTCACTTAATGTCATTTTTTGGGTAAATTTAAAAGAAAAAAGAAATTTCCTGGAGTCAGATATCAAGAAGTCTTTAGCTTCTACATGAATACCATTCCACAAAGCACATATGCATGGCTTGATTACCCAAAGAAGATGAGAAAGTGCACGCATTGGTTTATACATAAGATACAGAGACATCACTCATGTTTCATCAACGAACTTGATAAAGGATCAAAGTCCTCGCGACCAAGAATATTTTAGAAAAATCTGATGAATTTTTCATCTCCATGGCCAAGTTCAGAGCCTGAAATGTGGCAATGGAGAATTACCACTAAGGCCTTTGGAGTTGAAGTAGGTAATAAAGTCCTTGACAGTGGTTTCCCTATATTTTGGAGCGTTCTCTTCTGATAACAATTCCTTAATAGGTCCATATAATCTTGAGTCTGGCAATAGAGCAGTAGTGAAAAAGCTCGCCACTGATACTCTTGGACTTACAGAATTTGTCCGTACTCTATGGTCCACGCTTGTAAAACTGTCATTTGATATAAGCTGAAAGAAAAGAACAACAAAATAAATGAAAACTAGCTTAAAATCATAACTATTCATAACTCATGCTAATGTACTTCATTCATTATAGAGAAACTTAAAAATGGAAAAGACATGCCTGTAGAAGATCTCCAATGTTGATGACTAAAGCCCCAGGAGTAGGGGGTACATCAATCCAGTGATTTTCATGGAGTACTTGGAGACCGCCAACATTGTCTTGTAAAAGCACGGTGAGAAATCCATTGTCCGCATGCTTGCTTGAACCTAGAGTCAGTTCTGGCTGTGGACAGATAGGATAGTAATGGGACAGCATGACCAGTCCCTTAGCACAATCAATGTCTCTCAGGTAATCAGGGTTCAGACCAAGAGCCTCGGAGAGTAACTCAAACAGCAAATGCCCCAAATTCATTACATGCTTTGAGTATTCCACCGTTATGTCCCTACAAGTAAACTCATTGCAGTAAATATTTTCTGCACATATCATTTTCTTTTCGTCTATAATTCATTAAACTATATCCAATTATCCATTACACTTCAGTAAAACCACTTACATACTCTTTCATCTCAATCTGTTAAGCATTTTTCAACCAAAAACTCCAATTAAGATCTACTGTCTACACATGAAAATCTGTATATGATTCTTTAAACAGGAAAATGGAAAAAGCGGTTGAGAGAAATAAGTGTAAAAATGAAATGGTGATAAAACAAAAAATGGGACCTGCCATTTGAGAGGATTAGAAGTATAGTTGATCTGCGGATTAAAAATGACATGTTGATAAAACAGTCGCAATCTAAAGATAAGAATATATATTTTCAGGCACTATCTAAACCATGTGGCTCTAATTTTACTAGATATTATGGCTGTTCAAAGCAGATCATTATGACAGAACAACATGGAATATTGAAGGCTTAGCACAAACAATGGCTACGATAAACTATTAAACAAAAAAAAAAAGTAGTGTAGACCATCCTGATGAATTTGAAATACATTTTGATTCTTTGAAATGTTTTTTCCTTTATGTTTTTATGTTGTGGTTTTACATACCTGAAAACTGCTGGCAACTCTTCTGGCTTTGGAGGATCAGGAGCCATTGAACAGACAACTGTATCTCTCCATTTAGCTGCTGGTGCACTATACAGATCAAAATTGGAATTGTACACCACCCTTTTGGTATAATCTCGAGAGAAGAGTTGCTTTTTAGCCTCAACATCTTGCTCAAAAAACCTACATGCACCATTCTTCATCTCCTCCATGACATTCACTGGAATCCCATGGTTAAGCACCTGAAAGAATCCCCATGTCTTGGATGCAGTGTGAACTTTTTCAACTACTTCCTTACGAGTAGTTGTATTTTTCTTCACTCCTTCTAGGTCTATAACAGGAATACTAACCTGAGTGCCACCTGAAACTGAGTCCTTCTCAAACTGATCTCGCGGTTGATAGAATATCCGAGGAACTTCTTTGATTCCAGCATCAACAAGTCCTTTTACGCCAGCTTTTGTTTCATCAAAAGCTTTCAATTCACTTGCTCGATCATATTCAAGTTTTGGAGTGGCCTGCTCTGCCTCAGTACTCTTGGACTTGGTTATCACCATTTTCTTCTTTCTTGACTAATCCCTGTGCCCTGTGGACTACAAAAATCCTATGCCAATAACTGAGACAAATGGAACAAAAAGAGGGGAAAAAAAGATTTGTTTAAATAAGAAAACAACAGAAAATCAAAACATAGCAAGTATGCATGACGCTTTGGATCTTACAGGATAAGGCTTCTTATAATGGAAATATTGGCAACTATCACCGGTTGTTCAGATTGTGATATTCTTCAGCAGCCAATGAGAAATGATCCCAATGTCATGGTGCTAAAGCAATTGAGTGTTTGGTCCAATAGTAAGTGTACAAGTCTTCAGCTTAAAAACCTGAAATTTGATTCATACCATGTGGTTAAGGCAATGGTTTAATTGAGTCACAACAGCTTGTTTCAGAAAACAGATCATTAGACGAAATCCCATCTTTGTGTCAAATTCCACATCCCCAACTTGAGAAACAAAAATGATTAGCTGCCATGAAAATCACTGAAGTGTGGATACTCACATATTGGGCCATTAATCAAAGATGTTGGATACATAAACAGGCTCTAGACAAATCTATTATGAACCATACAATGTGGGGAATATAATTTGGCTTTCCATCTGTTTTTGGCGTTTTCCTTTTAAAACTTTCTTGTAAAAGCTGCTCATTTTGCTCAGGAAAGGTTAAAGACACTGCTTTACTTTGAAGGAAGGGGATTAAAACCCTGCTATGTGAGCAACTATCGTACACCAACCAATTAAGTCAAATGCTGGGTACAATAGCTACACCTAAAATGACTAACTGATGATTTTTTAATAAAGAATAATACTCAAACAGACCTTCAATTAAGGAAAAAAAAAAGGAAAAATTTTATAATCTTAATTTCATATAATAAAATATTAAAAAATATTTTTCATTTTTAATAAAATTTGAGAAGTATTTGAATATTATTCCCTTAATAATAAAACCAACAGTTTTTACAATTTTAAATGAGGTTATGGTACAGTGGAAATCCCTCCCCGGCCATCCAAATGAAGCTTTACTCAATGCAGGCAGTAACACAAGTCATTTTCATCTCAAATGTTTGTCTATGCAGATGCGCAATATAGGAACATTCACTACCCTAGAACACACACAGCCATACACACCAATTTGACAGAGACTTGTCACATCCTACCGGAATATCAGATCCAATAAAGATCCTCGACTTTAGACGATAATATATCCTGTTAATCAATTGTCGTGATTCTTTTAAGATTTTGTGTTATTGATTGATTTAATTTTAATTTGCTTAATTTTTGGTAAAAATTCACAGTCATACATGTTTATGATTTTTTAGCAATGATATTTTTATAAATTTTTTATCTATGGTAAATATAATGTTATTGATATTCATATAGAAATGAAAATAATTATATATAAAATTAGTTACTAATAGCATATTATCATGCATAAAAGGAAATATAAAATTTCTGAAATTATGAATTTTTTATTCATAAATAAATAAAAATATTTTATATTTTATATTCTATTATAGTTTCTTTTCCATTGATTACTATTACTGTTACAAGATGTTTCATTGGTTTCTATTTTTCTAATAGTAAAGTATTACTTTTACAATAACATATAGCTGTTTCAATATTTATTAAAATATTTAAAGAGTATGATTTTATACTGTTTAAATTTAAATTATGTTTTAACATAATTATAATACCTTTTTTTATTGATTTTTGAAAAATGTAACTATTTCATCATTACCAATTTTATATTAGTTGATTATAGTCAAACTTCAAACATCATTTCTTCTAGTATTTCTAAAAGAAATTGAATTTAAAACTAAGTTTACTAAATTGTAAACCTAATTATCTTGATTTTGACTACTTGTATCTCTTGAAAAAATAAAAATATTTATATTTTTTGTACATATTGATTGAGATTGAGAAAGAAAAAACTATCTATGTGAAATAAATCATTATTCACTAGTAATACTTTCAGCATCTTCATTATCCCTATTCGAGAATGAAGTTATAGATAAGGGTGGTGATAGAACTAAATTGTTACTATAACTACTTTCTCCATTATTTTCAAATAAAGGTTATTTACTGGTCCAAAAAATTCAATGGGTTTTATTCTTTTATTAAAAGGAGCAAGTTCTGTAATTCCTTCTAATAGCCATCAAAGTTAGTAAAGACAAATCTCTAAGATTCATTAATCTTAGTTTGATTTTTAAATCAAAGAGTCTGGGTTCAAACATCTCAATAATATTAAAATCTACTCTTTGATAAATGTAAAAGTAGTATTAGTAAATTCATTAATAGTTATCCAGTTTATAGATATATCATGAGCCATATTTATAATTTTTGACTTTTTTGTCATTATTCTAAGTTTGAGGTAATCTTCTATTAATGGATCATTAATAGAAATAAAATAGTTTGGTTTTACTTTAAACCAAATAGCTTCTAATACAAGATTTGATTATATTCCTCCTATTAGTGCTTTAATAGGATTTTTAAATCTTTTATTTACTAAAACTGCTATTATTGGTATATCATTATCAACTCTGAATAATGCTTTTATAATTATCATAATTATTCCTAAATGTATACATCTAAATTTAGGATATTTTTGTTTAATTCTCCTTATTTTTTTTTAGTGAATAAAGGATTATCTATAGATCCTTGATTAGAATTAGTAGTTATGGTATTGCCACTAAACTTTTCTATATTTCTTTGTGTCCATGGTTTGAATTTTGAAAAGACAGAGATTTTATATATTTCATTTGTATTTAATGATTGTAGTTTTTCTAACAATTTATTTGAAATAATAACATCTTGCCCTAATACATCACTTAATTTTGTTATTTGCTATTTTTCAACAAGTATATCTTTAGTTTCAGAACTAAGTTGATTATTAACTTCTGATATAAAATTATTACTAGGAATGCTATTTTGATTAAGCATAAAAATACACTAATCATTTTTGTAATCAGAATCTATTTCAAAAATTAATTCATAAATAATTTCTTTATCATATATTTCTTTTCCAAAACAAAATTTTAAATCTTATTCTTTAAGAATTTTAATAACTTTTTTAGCATTTTTCTCTTTATTAGGATATTGATGTGCAATATGATCTTCTTCATCACAAATGAAACATTTACATTTATATTTCTTTTTAGAAGCTTTCTTCTAACAAATGTTTTTTGTCAAATTTATGCTTTTAGGCTTCCATTTGACCAATTTATATCTTCTTTTCTTTTTATATTTCTTTGAATATGTTTTAGATTGAGATTTACATCCAAATTCCCATTTGTTGTCTAATATTGTTAAACATTATTTATCACTTAATATAATTTTAACTTGCTTGGCTGCCTTTGTTTTAAGGCAATATTCTATAATTTCTGTAGAAGCAAAATAAATTGTATTTCCTATAGAGTCTAAGTAATCTATATGTTTTACTTAGCATTATGAAGTTCCAAATATTTGGGATATTGTTGATTGCAGAGTTCATCCCATTATGATGGTAGCTTATGAAAATATTGTTTCTTCCAAAATTTTGAATGTAATTTATCCAATTTTTTGTATTCATGAATATATTTTTTAGAAAGTTTTTTTAACTATTTTATATCACATAATTTTATCTTGGTTAATACATAACTAGCTTCACTGTTTTGCTCAGCTAGTTCATTCTTCCATGAAATTAATTTTTTAATAAATTTGTAAGACTTTTTACTAAATCTAATATAGTTGTAATTTGATTTAGAAGAGTTCTTTTTTGAGCTATTCCTAATTTTGAATTTTTCCATTTGTGTAAAAATTGTAAAACATCTCTTTGAAATATTTCACAAAAATAATTTAAACATTTTTCTTTATATCAAGTGTCTTTGTAGTTGTTTACTACAATAGTCATGGATTGTGCCCAATCTTCTATGATTTTTTCATAGTCATTTATGGAGATTTTTGAAAGATCTAAATATGTACTTTTTTAAGCTACATTTCTTTTGTTTAAAGATTCTATAAAACTAGATTGTGGTATAGGTTCTGTAATAGTTCCAGAAGATGTTTCAGTTTGTTTTATATCATCTTTGGTTCTATTTTCAAACCTACTTTGATCATCTGTTTCTTGGTTGGAAATTTCTTTTACTTTTCATTTTTTCTTATAAACTTTTTGTTGACTGAGATCCATAAGTATCAATTTAGTATCGATATCTTCATCTACTTCTTCAAAAAATGAAGATTCTGTACTACTAGTTTCTTATTTTATTACTAGGTTAGTAGTTAAAATTTTATCTTTATCTTTATCTTCTTCATCGAAGCTATTTTCATTGGTAGTATCACAATTAAGCAAATAATGAAAATTAAAATTTTTAAAAGGTTCTATATGTGTTTCATATAGTTCTTCTATCATATTTAAATACTCAATCCTTTTTTAGGAATTAATGTTTTTTTCATTTTTATACTTAAAATGTTCTATAAGACTTTTATAAGATTTAAAATCCAATTGTTTTTCATTGGTTGGGAAAATGATGGTTTATCATCATTAAGCATAAGAATAGCATTACCATAATACAATGGTTCAAAATCATTTGTTTGCCTTTTATCTACTTTTAATAATTCTAATTTTTTATTAATATTTACTAATAACTGTTTAGATTCTTGGTTTAAATCTAAACTAATACCTTGTTTTAAATTATCTAATTTTTATTCTAATAAGTCAACTCTATTAAATAATTTTTTAAAAAAAAGTAGTAGATAAATTGATCAAACCATTAATACTACGACTAATGGCTAGTATATGATTTTCTAATTGAAGATCCATATGCAGACTATAATTATGAAGTTTTCTAAACAAATGTAGTTTTCAATTTCTTGCTTCATGTTTCTGGTACCTAAAATCTTCTATATACCATACCAAGATTTCTAAAGCTAGATTCAAAGGCAACAACAAAGATACAATACTAGCACAGAGATAGTAAACAGATAAATGGGTTTAAAAACGTAAAGTTAAAAATTAAAAGCTGAGAAAGTAAAGAAATACTTACAAGTATAAGTAGAAATTGGAAACCTCAACTAGGATATATATATATATATATATATATATCAACCTTGATTTATACAAGTTATAATAGATAAGGCTATTTACAAAGCTCTAATACCAATTACAAAAAATAAGGAAGATGGAATTAGAAGAATACAAAAGATAATTATACAAGAGAGAAGGAGAGATGAAGAAAGAGCTCATCGAGTGTTTGCTTCTCTTTTATTAAATAATCATTACAATTATGACATTAGGTAGAATAGTAACCTATGTTAATAAATATTACATTTATAATGTTAGATACCCTATTGTCTACCCTTATCTACTTTTATTAAATCTCTGCCATTACTTTTGACAAGTTGTCTGATTCATTAGTAGTATAGCTATTTGGCAATCTAATCACTCTATTAGCAGCAAATGTAAACTTTTTCTCTTTTTATCTATCATGAATAATTATCAAATTTATAGCCTCTTTATTTTTTAGATTAAAGAAACTGGTGAAGTTATCCTTAATTTATTCTATTTTTTTCATCCTTCTCGACACTAGAGTAGTAAAAAAAGTGAGTATTTCACATATTCCATTCTAAATAGTTTTTCTAGAGTTCAACTGCCTGATGTTTTGGTTTTGGATTA